AACATACCTTTTGGAGTTGTTTAGGGCTTAGCATTAGCCTCCTTCCTGTACTGTGTTTTTATGGTTTTAAGTATCATCAGCATATCAGTGACTCCCAAATGTGTATCTCTTATCTAAATCTCTTTTAAGTTTTCCAAACTCATTTCTTACATTTTCAGGGTAATCTCATAGACATATCAAGCTAATCATGCCTGAAACTGTACTTTTGATTCTCTCCTTCTTTAGATCTGCTGATCCTCAAAAGTTCTGCTGAGAAATCTACTAATAATCTTGTGAATGCTCCTTTGTATGTGATGAGTCACTTTTGTTATTTTTAAGCCTCTGTAATCCATTTTAGACAGTTTGATTATGTCTTGGTGTGGTTCTCTTTAGATTTTCCCAGTAGAAATACTTGAGCTTTTTAAATTTGTATGTTCATTTGTGGCCAGAATTTGGGACGTCTTTAGCCACTACTATTTTTTAAGTAAGCTTTATGCCCCTTTATTGTGCTCTTAGTTCCTTTCTTTCTCTCTTTTCCTACTGTGATACTCAAAATGCACATATTGATCTACTTGATATTGTCCCATAAGTCCCTTAGGCTTTCTTTGCTTTTCATCTTTCTTTTTTTTGTTGTTCCTATGACTTGATGATTTCAAATGACTTGTTATTGAAAGTTCATTGATTATTCTGCCCAGTTAAGTCTATTGTTGAATCCCTCTAATGAATTATTCAGTTCAGTTATTCTATTTTTTGGGTCTAGAATGTTTTTTTAGTAGTTTCTGTCTCTTTATTGATATGTGCATTTTGTTCATATATGATTTTCCTGTGTTTAATTATGTATGTGTTTTCTTTTAACTCACTGAGCACCTTTATGATGACTATTTTAAATTCTTTGTCAAGTTGGTCATAGTTTTGTGTTTTGTTAGTAACAGTTTCAGGAGTGTTATTTTGTTCCTTTGATCGGGCCATGTTTTCTTTTCATTATATGTTACAGAATTCCAAGAAACAGGAACAACCAAATGAGAGTCAGGAGGATTTATTTATGTCGTATACACCACTCAGTGGACTTTGTGTTCAAAATGGCTGAGCTTGAACAAAAGAGAAGTTCCAACTTTTATACATTTCGTTGAAGGCGGGTCGCCTTTCTAGTGACATAGCAAGTGAGTTTACCAGAACAGGACAAGGGCAGACAGTTTTATGACTTTGCTTTGAAAGAAGACAGTGTCTTATGAATCATATGAGAACAGAGTGTCATAAACTTTTGTTTACAGGACATAGTTTTTCATTTTATCTGTACCAGAACAAGAAGTTACAGCTATGAGAAGAAGGGGAAGATCATAAGGGGAAGGACTGCTGAAGGCTGGGAAGGAATTGTTTTTCTTTAAGACCTCCTTGTCATTTTTCCTAGATTTGGGTGTTTTTATAAACAGTCACCTTTCTCAGTCTTTATATGCTCACTTTGTATAGGAGAAGATGCTTACCAGTCAACCCAGGTGGGACTCCCAGGGCCTCTCAAACCTTTCATGATATATTGCTTTCCCTGAAATTACCCTCAAAACTGCAGCTCTGATACACTGCTCACCTGTTTTCAGTGCCTTTCAAAACCTGGTGCTAGTCCTGTGTCAAGCTCCTAGTCAAGCAAGAGAGTAACCAGTTTCTTGGGCAGCTCCAAGCCAAGCCAGAACATTGAACACATGGTTTATTCTTTTGTTCTGTGTTCAGGGAGTGGCCCTTACTGGAGGCTGATCAGACCCCCAATCACCTGACCAAAGGTATGGCGGATGGATTAAAAAAGGAAGATAAGATAAGATCTTAATGCATAAATGGGGGGCCCAGTATGGTCAAAGCTCTTATCTGGCTAAGACACTGTCTCCTGGAACTTGCCACTATTTGTTGATCATCCAGCTTCCAGAAGGAATAAAGGGTGGTACAGGGAACAGTGAGGTGAAGAGCACTGATGTGAGCAGGGTCCTAATAACAAGGGAACAAGATATTCCAGTAGGAACAGATCATTTATTTGTTTTTGAAATTTGTTTCTTCCCATAGATTGATTTTTGTCTGTATGGGAATTTTCTGTACAAGTCATGCTGCCCATAGCTGCACTATTGTCTTGCCATCCAAGGCATCACAGATCATTGAGACCTCTGCTGTAACCAGTGGTGTGGGGAGTTGTTCATTCCCACACACCAACTACTGGCTCTTCAGGCAACCATTGTGGTAATAGGCAGACTTTTTTTTTTTTTTTTGCAGTACTGGGGATCGAACTCAGGACCTTGAGCTTGCGAGGCAGGCGAAGTGCCACTGAGCTAAATCCCCGGCCACACACAGACTTTTAATATGAAAAGCCAAGTTATGAATTTATAGCTCACTCAGGGTGGTCTCCATCAGGCCCTGGTGTAGAGCCTTTCTTCCTGGTTGCTTCACTATGCCACAAAGAGGGAGGAGCACACATAGGCCCTTAATACTACAAAATGTCTTATTCCTTTTCATTGGAATCTCTTCTTGGCTTTACAATGACCTGAGTGCCTAGGAGCTTGCAGTTGATAACGCATTCTCACAGATCTATTCTGTTCCATATATTGCCAACTTGGTGTCTTAATGTAAAGGAGAGCTTGTAGCTTCCTAGTCTACCATCTTGTTGATGCCACTATAGCTATTATAAAAAATGTGTTTTCAACAACACTAAGATTCCACCTCACCCCAGAAACAATGGCTGCTATCATGAAATCAACCAGTAACAAATGCTGGTGGGGTTGTCGGGAGAAAGGAACCCTTCTCCATTGTTGGTGGGAGTGTAGACTGGTGCAACCACTGTGGAAATCAGTATGGAGATACCTCAAAGAACTAGGACTAGAGGTCCCATTTGACCCAGCTATTCCCCTGCTGGGTATCTTCCCAAAAGAATTAAAAAATCATACCACAGTAATATATGTGCACCCATGTTTATAGCGGCACAGTGTGTAGTAGCTAAAACTTGGAAACAGCCCAAGTGCCCATCAACTGGAGACTGGATAAAGAAGATGTGGTTTTTGAATAAAATGGAGTACTACTCAGCCATAAAGAATGAGAAACTAGCTATATAAATATAGCTAAAGGGATGCACATTGAGGCCATACTCTTAAGTGAAATAAATAGGACATAAATGTGTAAATAATGAATAGTTTCTCTGGTGTGAAAAACTAAAAGTATATAAATAAGGATCGAAATTGTAACTGATAATTGAAATAGGAAAAAAAGGTCTAAAGGAGTAGGGGAAGTGAGAGGGGTAGGGAAAAGGAAAGAAGGGAAAGGAAAAAATGGAAACAAAGTCTTTTTAAGTAGGGAAGGGTAGAGGGGGCGAAGGGAGGACAGGGGAATGGGGAAGAAAATAAGAATCAAGATACATCATGTAAAGGTATAAGATCCCAATGATGAATGTAACTATATTGTATACCTAAAATGTACCAATAAACTTTATGAAAAAAAAAAAGAAATGTGTTTTCATGGTTATATTCACTCTTGTCAGTGTAACATTTTAGAAAATACCACTTGAGATAAAACAAAGCAAAATGTAGGAAACAAGAACCTGGTTTGACTGCAATTTCTAACAAATTAGTTGTTTGTATAATGTTCATATAATTACATTCCCTACAAGCTTTTGGCATGATGAGTATAATGAACTTGCCTTGCCTTCCCCAGAACTTAGAGGTAAACCTGGGTCTGTTATTCCCCTTTAACTGTTGGGAGGATTTACAGTACTAGTAGATCATGCTGATTAAAACTTCCAAGGTTTAATGATATGTGGCAATCATGTATTTTTCTAATATACCAAGTAATTTTTCTAATACAGCTTGTAACCATCCTAATTTTATATCATTCCTGAAAGATGAGGCTTTACAGTTGAACACTTCATTCTTTAAAGCTTACGTATTTAGATGGATGTGTGAGAGAAAACAACTGTGAACTTTGATGCTATGTGCTTAGGCTTCATGAGGATGAAAATACTATTTCTGAACATAGCCCATTGACTTTCCTGGTGTTAGCTGGAGATAACTTCATTTGAAAATGTTGTCTTTGTCAACATGAATCATTATAAAACAGGTAAAAAAGTGGGACAGTAGAAACTAAGAGCTAGAGTTAATATTATGTTGGAAATGACCACAAACAAGTACATGAAGTAACACCTGTTTGCAGCAGTTTTCTGCTTCCTTAAAGTGCCCGTTTTATGTCATGTGAGCACAACAGTAGGATCAGGGCAGGTAAAATTTTCCTAGCATTCTGTCTTCATTAACTTTCACTTCCTTAGGAGATCTTGAATAAAATAAACAGATTTTGCAATCTTTAGCAACTGATTTGAATTGTTTCCTCAGATTACAGAATCAACTGAAAGCAGGTTAGGTGCATTTAGGTTGGGTTTAGTTTAATGTCACACTTAACTACATCATTGTACATACATACTCAGTACTATTACTTAGCACCTATCACTCGCAAAGGTTTCTCTAATGCATGTGAATTGAAACATTGTTTTAAACCTGGCTTTCAAAATGTTCTGTTAAGTATTGACTTTTGCTGAGGCTGTATAATCTCAGCATTTAAAGATCATAACTGTTAGATTAGTGCTTAGAGGCAGTATCTATGCTGAACTGAAGGACTAATGGTTGGATGAATTCAGATATTCTGCCTCCACTGTCTTTATTAATATTATTTACTAGATTTCAGATGGACTGCTGAGAAAGATGATTATATACTTCCTCTTAAAAGAGTAGAGAATATAATTGTTCTCTTGCTGCCATATATTTTACTAACATTTGTGGCATCAACTTAAAAATCAGATGTCCCTGCAGAGTTGGAACCTTTTGCTAAAGTGGAGTGTTAGTAAGTATATTTGTGTGTTCTAGGAATTACGGGGTTGAATAGAGCAGGTAGAAAAAATTTTGAACCACTCAGAGAATAATATGGCGTATACTGAGGCTAGTGGAGAGAAAAGAGGCAATATAAATTGTATTCAACTAAATTCTTTTTTCCTCATTTTTCTTTTGTAGAAGCTGGAGAAAGTTCTTGTGGAATTCACTCATAAGGAGTTGTTTGATTTCTATAACAAGGTCTGTATATTGAAAATAATCTTCTGATACATAGGGATTTTCCTAATGTTTCCTTTATTTTATAAATTTTTATTTCTAAATACCCTGTTATGGAACTGAGTTCTTTAAATATCTTTTACAAGCACTGTATGTGTCACTGCAGGAAGCATAGCTAAGATGAAAAGAATCTGCACAACTAAATCAGGAAGAAAATGAAAATTGTTTTAATTAAGGCAAGACGATTGTTGCTTTATTATAAAGCATTAAGTGGTATATTGTGTGATATCTAGCTATAGTGACACTTTAAATGTAAATCATGTAAAATAATTTGGGGGCCCAAGGGTAAAAGGAAACATGTAAATAAAGATGCTGGTTCTTTAAAAATTTATCTCTGAGTATTGTTCATATTTCTTTCCAAATCCTGATTTGATAATTCAGGAAAATGCACTCTCCCCATCCCCAACCGTAAAGTCTTATTGGGTAGTAATAATTTAAAATGAAACAGCTGGATATACTTAAAATAGTATTTAGAAGTCCTGCTTTACAAATGTGAAAAGTAAAATGGCAAGCATAAATTCTAACATCTTCACATAAAAAATACCCTAAGTGCCATTTTATTGCTATGTGAATAGATTTAATATACATAGTTACTAATGCCATTCTTTCCTTTTTATTTGCGTGTTTCATATAAACAGCAGATCATAGGAATTTTTTTCCGCTCACCAACTTTCTGTTTTGTTTTATTTTCTTTGTACATAGTTAGAGACTATACAAGCACAGCTGGATTCCCTTACATGATGTTATTGAAGACTGATTTCTCCATCACACTCCTGCCACCCCCATTATTTTGCATTGAAGAGAGATTGCCTGGCTGTTTTCTGGAAGACTCAGTGACTTTCTTTTTATAAATTATATGGCTTGTCACTTCTTAGACAAGTAATAACGAAGGGAAAGCAATGTTAAGAGTACTAAGTTCTAATGTATAGTGTTTGTCTAGTTCTGTGAGCCAGTAGCAATTATTATGAACACTTTTACTTTCAAGAAATCAAAAGTGAATAGTATATTGTTTTTACTTTAATCTTTATTGCCTCATCTGTTTATTGTTTACATGCTTGATGACCCCTGTATGTATCAAGGAGGGTCCACATATAGAAGATATAATGTGTACCCTACCAGAATACAGAACTTCAGTAATTACATTAGTAAAATTAAGGAAACAGCCATGTGCAGTCAAATATATCATGGCATTTTTTCCTATAAGAAGTATATTTTGCCTGAGAAATTATATGAAAGAAATTTAAAGTAGAACTAGTAGTATTATATCAATTCTAATGTCAGCCTTTCTACATTAATTTTTCTGAGTTTAATGATTTTAAAAATAGTGCAGATTTTTGTGTCCTTTTCTTTGTAATGAAAATTAATGATTCACTTCATAGTGTGAGACACAGATGCAGATCATGAATAAAAACAATTGTAATGAATAGTAAATGGGCATCTTTATAATTTCAAATCACATACCTTTTGTATTTCCTTCCCTGAATGCATTTATTTCAGTCAATAAAATTTTTGTATTTTAGAATTGTTTGAACTGATGTGTATTTTTATTTTATGTATTTTATAGTATATTTTATAATATGGATATATGTAAATGTAATATGATTCCCATTAACTGAAATGTCTCTCATATTATTTACAGAGCAGGAGGTTGAAACATGACTTCTTTCACATGAAGGAATTTGATTTCAGAAATGTCTTATAGTTAAACAAAGCTATTATAATTGACTCATTTCTCACATGAGATATCTGGGTAATATAAGTGTTACAAGTGTTATACAAATAAATGTTCAGTATGTGGAATGTATGCCCACCCTTCTTTACAAATGCATTTTTATATTTATATATACATGTATATGTATACATATGTGTATATACATGTTTGTTGTTTAAAAGACTTTCAATCTGGAATATTTCAGAAAGCAAATTTTATAGTTGTCTGTATGGATTGACTTTAAAGATTTTTTTTAACTCCAATTTCCATTGTTAGAATATATGTAAAGCATGTTTGTATTGTAATGGTTTTATGTAGCTTGTAACACTGCTTTTTGTTGTTGTTCTTTGTTTGCTTTTAGACAGGATCACATTGTATTGCCCTTGCTGGTCTCAAAGTTAAATATGGTAGTTAGAGGTTTTCTAAAGTAGCTCATTTTATGCTCCCTTAAAAGGGCTGGTTTATACTCTCTAAGAATATGTCTAAACCTATACAAAAATATGGTAAACAGTTTTCTTTATGTTAGTCTAGTTTGATGAATTCTGCATCAAGGTCACTAAAGAATGGACAAAAAGGTCTAATTCAACTAAGAACATAATTATTCCTGAACTATATTTAGTTGAAGATTCTTAAGGCATTACCATTGTTAGGATACACAAAGGAAGTGTGATGTTTCCAAAGAGTATTAAATACATGCTAGTTTTTTATTTTAAAAAAAGAAGTCGAAGGAATTAGTGGGGACTGGAACCTACTATCTCAGCACATCAGTATTTAATCATGTGCCACATAACAATGTTTTGGTCAATGGTAGATTATATATACTTACTACATATTGTGTAGCCTTGATTTGTATTAGGCAACACCATCTGCCTTTGTGTAAGTACACTGTATAATATTAAGACGCTGTATAATATTAATGGTAAAATTGCCCACTGTTACATTTCTCAGAACATATCCCCATCATTAAGTAATGCATGATATAAGTCTCTTATGAATGCTTGATACGAAGATTGAGTAGAAATAGAATTACTTGGTAAAAAAGAGGAAACAGTGTACTATTTTTATAACTACTGTAAAGATTTGCAGCTTTCCAATTATAAAATATCATATGATTATATTTAATTAGAAAATACCAAAAACTAATAAAGACTAATTAAATGTATAGAGTCCCATAATCCAAAAATGGTTATTAGTGGCATTTGAATAGATTGTTTTTGCATTTTTTCCTATCCATATATCTTATTAATTTTTTCCTTTCCTAACAAACTGAGGTTATGCTATAAATACAATTTTATACTTTTATATAACATTATAGGCATTTTCATATCCTTAAGTACTGTGTAAAACAGAATTTGAATGTATATTAAAAAGTTCATCATTAAAGAACCTTACTTTAGTCCTCTACTAGTGAACATTTAGATTATTTCCAATTTTTAACATAATACAGAACTCACCAATAAATGTCATTATACATAACCCTAGACCACAACTCTCATTGTTTTATTTATATAGGTTCCTAGAAATGCAATCACTATGTTAAGTGTAAATATTTATTGTCTCTTATCTTTTATGCTAATATTATAAAAATAATTTCTCATTATAAAAAGATAGTTGCTTTATTTTGCCATATGATTCTCTAGAAGTACTTACCTAATTGCTACCAACATTTTGGAGTATATCTTTTTAGACATCATCTGTAAATACAAATATATTTTTAGAAATTTATTTACATATAAATTTGATATATATTGCTAAATTATTTCCCCATAGGTTATATCAACTTATCTTCTACCAACAATGAATAAGAATTTAAATGCCTCAAGCTTCCTTTATCAGCTGCTTCCTCCTGCTATACATTTTACCCTTAACATTATTTTTAATCTGGGATTTGGGTTTGGGCAGAATGTAGGGTAAAAGTGGATTGGAGATGGGAACCTTGGTCTTTAGTTGAGATATGTCATGTTGAAATCCTTCCAAAAATCAGCAACTATGAGAGACAATATGACAGTACTTAAATATAAGGCCATTGAACTCAGATATTTATTCCCTTAATAAATATTTACTGAGTGCCAGTGCTGGCATGATGTATACTAGGCCCCATGTTGACATTGATAAACACAACAAACATGTTCATGGCCTCTTGAAATGTAATATGTTGGTCAGTAAAAAGCCAATATGCAGTAAGTTGACAAGTTAGAGACAAAGTATAAGTGAGTTTTATTAAGAGAAAAAGATGGAACCAAAATTAGAGGCATCAAGGAAGGATTCTCTGAGGAGTGAGATTTGTGCCAAGTTCTATACAATGAGTTATAATGACACAATAATAGAGTGAAAAGCATTCCAGAGAGAATGACTCCTGCAGCATTCCAGAAGTTAGAGCTTTTAGTGCATTTTGGGAACCAAAAGATCAGTATAGCTAGAGTGCAGTGAACAATGGAATCATAGACTGAGCTATAATTACAGACAAGGACTCATTCTCTCACAAAGTCTTGTCATTTCTACCACCAAAATATATTGCAAATGTGTCTCTAGGTCACTGCCCTGTCCAAGCCACCATCGTATTTGCCCTGGACTGTCCCGCATTCACTCTAGCCCTTCTCCAGTCCAGTCTTCACACACAGCTATTGGTTTTTAAACATTAAACCTATTAATTATACTATCTCTTTGCTTAAAACCCTCCAAAGGATCCCATTACACATCAAATAAAATGTAATGATCTGGCCCTTCAGGACAGTGCAAGAGTCATATCCTAGTTCTACAAGTTGGTGTGTATGTATTGAGCAAGTTACTCAACTTGCAAAAGCCCACTTCCCTTGGCTTTGTAATAGGAATATTAGTAATCCAAATTATAAGAGTGTTTTGAGGATTAAATGAGATGATTCATGTTAAACATTCATCCTAACCCCTGATTCCCAATAATTATTATATAATAAGTGTTAATAATGTTTTTATAATCACCAAGTAACCAAGCTTTCTTTTGAAATAGTTCCAGATAAGGTTTGTACTAAAGTCAAAATTGCAGAAAGCTTATATGAAGCTCCTTCACTTTGAATTTATTTCAAGTTCTAATAATTCCACTATAATTATCAATTCTAATACAATTCTAATCTAGCCACTCATTCTATTAATAAGATAATAGGTATATTATAGGACCAGAATAAAAATATTTTTTCTATGAACACCTTTCCAGATGGCTCTTATGGGTTTAAAAAATATTTTTCTCTAAATTTAAACAATGAATTTTGATTTTTATCCTACCTTAAATGTTGCCTACACTTCATTATAGAGTGGTTCAGCAGTTGACGGCTACGACCCACAACATGTCTTTGGAACTAAAATGTTATTAGAACACAGCTGCCCTGCTACCAAACTCACTCTAGAGACTTTCTCTTTTTTTGGCTTTGAAGAAACAAGTTAATGTTATGAGAGAGGATATGGATGAGGTTATACAGCGAGGAACGGTGGGTGACTTAAGACCTGAGGGAGAACAGCACCAAAAAGTTGAGGCCCTGAGTCTTATAGCTACAAAGAAATAAGTTCTTCAAACAACCTGGAAATAGATTGTATCCAGTCAGGGTTCCACATGAGAACACAGTCCAACTGATACCTTGAGAGCAGCCTAGTGAGATTCTAAACAAAGGAACCAACTTAACTATTCCAGTACTCAAGAACAATGGTGATTATAAGAGAATAAATGTATGTTTTAAGCCTCTTTATTTGTACTAATTTGTTATTGTGCAATAGATGACTGAAAGTCATGCCCACAGTTTATACTTTTTATCTGCATTTACAGTATCATGGAAAATTTGAATAGTTAAAAGACTGAGTGAGCTGCAATACCTAAAATATTTACCACCTGCTTTTTTTTTCCCCTTCGGTACTGGGGATCAAACTCAGGACCTTGTCCTTGTGAGGCAGGCGCTGCACCACTGAGCTAAATCCCCAGCCCTACCCCCTGCTTCTTTATAGAAAAAAAGTGTGCAGACCCCTGCTGTATGTTGTACTTCCTAAACTGGAGCATTCCTAAAGGTATATAATAATTGTTAGAAGACGCAAAAGTTGTAAAATGGACATGGTATGTATTTCTGTCGCTTCACTTTTACTCTAATTTCTGTCAGACACCTAGCCGTCAATCTAAGAATTCCATTTTCCATCCTCCTTTGCAGTTACTTCATCAAGGTGACTAAGTGTCACCAATGAATTGTGACTAAAACAGATTGGGAGTTGAGTCAGCTTTGAGCAGATAGATTCTAATTTCTTAAGGGTTAGGGAACAATAACAGGAAAAGAACTTGGGTCCCTGGATAGTCTCATGGAGCACTACAGTCTACATGTCCTTGACATCTTCACTGTTGCATGAGAAATAAAACATCTTGGTTGAGCAATCATATTTGGGGTCAGAGCAACCTATAAGCAATAATGTAGTAACAATAGTAGTAACAATTTTAATGGAGCAGTAATTTAACATTATTTTTAAAGAGATAAACATTTCATAGTTTATCATTCAAGCTACATATAAATGGAAAGGAGAAAATGGAGAACAAAACCAAAACAATGCCATCTGCAACTTCAGGATAAACTCTCAGAGCACTAGGAGTATACCTTGGAAATTAAAGCAGTCTAATCCTGCAGCGGCATCTCCTCCTCCCCCGGTATGGCTACTCGGAAAGAATTTGAAAAACCATTGATGTATATTGTAAATTTCCCCTGAAGTCCTCACATAATTCCTTTTCTTCTGTTGAAGAAAAGAGCTGGGGCAGTTCTGACTTGTTTGGGCTCATTAGTCAGAAGCTGCTCAGGAATTAAACTTTAAATTTCATA